CTGTGTTGTTTTTGAGGTCTGGTGGTGAGATTAGCTCTACGGGGTGCTTGTGACTTTGCCCTGACAGCCGTGGACAGTCTCTCCTTGTCTGGTGTTAGTCCTGTTTGGATGTTTTTTAGTTCTTTGCTCAGCTGTGGTCTTTGGCATTCTGGTGGGCATTCCAACTGACGACATTGGTTGTTTTGGGCAATCTGGGCCTTCGATTGAGTTTTGGGGGGTTGTTTTTGTGTTGGTGATTTGCATTGGTTTTGGTATTGGGTTGCTTGTTGGGTTCTACCAATGTGTGGATTTTTTTTTTGTTGTGTTGGATTTGGTCTTTTGTTGTCATCTGTTTCTTTGAAACTAGTTGAGTGTTCACTGGTTTGGAACCATGGTTTGGGTGATTGATTGATAGGTATCTTTTGTACACGGTGATTTCCGAGAAGGCGAAGGATATGTCTGGCAATCCAGTTCGACAAGTCTATTTCGTTGATGATCCGGTTAGGCAGATTATTTCTGTGAAGTTAAATAGAATCTACTATTAGTCTATTATTCTTGGTCTTTTGCCATCAAAGTCTTTTTGATTGGGAAACGAAAAGCCAAGTATTTGACTGATAGTTCTCCCAAGATTTCGAAAGATTCTGAAGACTGGTGGGGTGAGAATTCCTTAGTGATGACTTAGTTGAGATATAGTATGGAACTTAGTGTAGTTTCGGATGTTCAACTTTTTGATACCACTAAGAAAATTTAGGAATCTTTTGAGGAGATCTATTCATAAGAACATAATGTATCCTGAATTTATGAACTTTTTGAACGTGTGCTTAATACTAAGCAAGGGAATAAGTTTTTGGGCTAAGTATTATGGTAATTTGAAAGGTTTATGAGAAGAGCTTATACTTTATTAGTCATTGAGTGCAAATCTAAAAGTACAGCGACGACAATGTGAAGAGCTTCAAGTTGTCCAATGCTTGTCCGGTTCTTAATTTTGAATTTGGTGTGTTCAAAGATCAGATTTTGGCTAGTGTGAAACTTTCAACTACTGTCAATGCTTATTCTCGTATTTAGAGAGCCTATCTGACCCATGTGACTCCCTTACTTTCATAGGAGTCTTCTACTTTACTCTCTAGTGACGGTAGTCATCGTGGTGGTCGTTATCCAGTCTTAGGTGATAATCGTGGTGGTATAAGCAGTGGTCATGGAGATCTTGGTGGTCATGACAATCATTCCGAGTGAAAATGTTCTTATTGTGGAGCTGTTGGACATACGGAGGATTCTTGTTGGGATAAACATGGAAAAGTTACCTATGCTAATTAGGTTTCTGATGATGAACTGATTTCTGTATGTCAGCCATTGAGTGGTGGATCTTCTACATCCACATTTGGCTCACACAGTTTTAAAACCCGGCCCAGAGATCAACCCGGCAAAGAGACCAGGTCACCGGGTCTCTGGTTTCAGCCACTGGGTCACTGGTCGGACTGGTTATTTAATAAAAAAATTAAAAATAAATATTAATAATAAAAAATATACCAAAAAATATCATAAGTATAAAAATAACCATGTTTAATGTATATTAGATCAAATAAAAGCCCACAAAATCAGACCAAAAAATTTGTCAAATGCCAAATTGAAAACTTAGAATCACAATACCCCGTAATATCAACAATCAATTAGAATGATTTAATATCAAATTTCTAAATGTAACCTTACAAACCTCATAAATCCACCGATCAAAAAAATCACAACCACATCCTACTACAACATAAATGAAAAATAACAAAAAATAATGGAACAAAAAATCAGAAGTTGTTCACCAAAACCAAAAGTTGTATACTTGGGTTTTATAGATTTTATAGAGAATGAGGGACTATGTGCTGTGTTGTGTCATCGATGGAGCATTATCAAAGATTCAATGTATTTAACACAGAGAATGAGGGGCATTATCAAAGATTTAATGTATAAAAATCAAAAATTAAATATAGCAGATTAGCCGATTAGGGCATATTCTGTCAACTGTGTACATGTTAGAGAGTAGAGAGAGAGAGTATAGTGTACCTACTACTGTCAATGGTCGTCGATGCTTCGATGGGAAGGAGCTTTGATGCCTTCTTCCCTTGCTTGCTCGCTGCGTCAGAGACACAAAGAGGGAACTGAGATTGAGACTTGAAATGAGAGGCTGAATCTGAAAGTTTGAAACTCAGAGGGAGAAAGAGAGAAAGACTGGGCTGATTGCTGAGAGCTTGAGAAGGTTATTGACTACTCCACTGTTGCGAAGAGGCAGAGGTTGAGGCTGGTCTTCATCGTTCGACTTGTTGGACAGAGTTGATTTATGGATTTAGGGCAAAATGGCCAAATATTAGCCTTTTATACAAAATGAAATGATTCGGCTGGTTTGATTAAACTCTTCCGGGTCGCATGGGTTGGCGGGTTTTAGTTGGTTCAACGGATTTTAGCCGGTTCTTATGCAAAAACGATCTAATGAGTGAACCGGCCTGGTTCAGGCACCGATTCACCGGTTTACCGGGTCAACTCACAGGGCAGGGCCGGGCCGGGTTTTAAACACTAGGCTCACATGATGATCTTACCTCTCAGCTGCTGGTTTGGCCACTGCTAATAATTTTGCATATGCAGCAACACAATCTGCTTCACCATTTTGGATTATTGATTTAGGAGTTAGTGTCCACATGTTTGGTATTTCCTCATTGTTTTATAATTTTCATTCTTCTAACCATAGTTGTTAGTATCGTACGATACACGATACGTTATAATACTGAGGTAAAACGATACGGATCGTAGTTATGTATCGTTTTTGCGTCGTATCGTTCGATACACGATATGTTTTTATGATACGATACGTATCGGTACGATACGACCGATACGCGCAAAACTTTTTTTTTTTTTTCCTGAAACGACGTCATTTTGTCTAAATAAGACACTAATTTTATCTCCGCCATTGATGAAACGACGTCGTTTTGTCTAAATAAAACACTAATTTTTATTTTTTTTTGTATAAAAATTTCTAAATCTTGATTAATTTTATGGATTGAGTTCAAAATGGATGTTAGAAATTTGGATTAAAAGTCTCTTTGGTGTTTGAAGTTTGAATTAGTGAACTATGGTTGTAAACTTTGCATTATATTTTTATGAATGTATAATTTTTTTTCAAAGGTATATATATATTTTTATTATTTATTTAAAATTACACCGTATCTTACGATACATTATTTTTAAAAAACGATACACCTTCCGATACACGATTTAATAACTATGCTTCTAACTCGTATTGTTTTAACTGATGGTTCCTTTAGACCAATACGTGGGATCGGTGATCTCCATCCTACTAAATCGATGTCATTGACATTTGGATTATTTTTTCCTCAATTTTCCTTTAATCTGTTATTTGTGAGTCAGTTGACTTAGAATTTACAGTGTTCAATGACCTTTTCTTCATTTTGTGTTTTTCAAGACTTTTGGTTGAAGAAGGTGATTAATTTCGGGCATGACCATAATGGACTATACCATTTGGATTCTAGAGCATCAGTTCTTTCGATTGGGTTATCCTTCAGTGCAAAAGATTCATCAAATCATTCCAAGTTTGAGTCCTTTTGTTGCAGACCCTACAGTTAAGCTAGATCCCGAGAGTGAAGTCCCTGATTATATAGGGCGATAACAACGGTGGGTTGGTAAATTAATTTATCTTCTAGATTTGCGCCCTAATATTACATATGCTGTTAAAATGGTTAATTAGCTTATGCATGTCCCTCGTAAGCCTCATTGAGAGATTGTCTGTTGTATACTTCGATATCTGAAAGGGGCTCTGGGGAAAGGATTATTATATCATTCATCATCATCTATAATAGTTATTGATTTTTTTTATGTTGATTGGGTAGGTAGTCATGATGATAGGCGATCTATTTCTGACTACAGTACATTTTTTGGTAGTAATGTTGTTACTTAGTGCGGTAAAAGTTGACCGTGGTTGCACTTTCTAGAGTACAGGTTGATTATCGTGATATGATATACATATTGCTTGAGATGTTATGAGACTTTGTTATGAGACCTGATGTGCCTTCTCCTATAAAGATGTATTGTGGCAATCAAGCACCTATTTTCATCGTAAGTAATCCGATATTTCATGAGCGTGTCAAACAAACTGAGGTGGATTGCCATTTCATTTGAGATATTTTGATGCGAAAAGAGATCATCGGTCTGTATATCAAGTCTGATGATCAAGTGGGTGACATTCTTACCAAGTCGTTGGCTTGCTTTGCTTTTAGTAGTTTATGTTCCAAGCTGAACATTTTTTATATATATGCTCCAACTTGACGGATAGTGTTAAGAGTTCTTATTTTCTATAATAGACGTAAGTTAAGTAGTATAGGGTAATATTGTAATTACTCTAATATTACTCAGTTATAAATAAGAGAGTATTGGACTACCTAACTTACACATCAGTTTATTCTCTGTTTCTTTACCTCTCTTTATTTTCTCTTGCTCTCCTAATCCTAACCCTAATATCGTTTTTAGTGTTTCATCTTTTCTAGCGGATTTGAGTTCTCAGTGTGCCTCTTAGGTGGATTCATTTGTTTTGCATTTTCCTCTTCGAGAGGCATGTTGGCCGGAATGCTTGTGCACCATTGTGCTTCTTTTGTATTCTTCTCTTCATCTTTAATTTCGTTTCTTATAACAAACATGTAGCCAAAAATGTTGTCGTTTTCTTCCTCAATGATAGCTTCATTAATTGCATATCGTTGTTGTTTTGAATTTGGTGATCTTCCGATTCTGAATTTTGTGGAATTGCTCGTGTCTGTGTATGGAGAGAGAGAGAGAGAGAGATCTTTTGCTCGTTCACTTGGATCCATGTATAGACTGATGGAGGAACTTGAGCATAATCATCTGATTGTTTGCATGTTGTTTAAAAATTTCATGTTGTAGGGAATATTAGATCTATTTGGTGTTCAAATTTGTTTGCTTTTTTCCCCCCATGGCAGTAGGTTGCAATTGTTCATCTTTCAGTGAATGACATGATCTGGAAACTTCCAAAACAGGTGCAAAATGCAGTTGATTTTTTGAAGATGATTGGAGCATTAGATGAGTATGAAAACCTCACACATCTTGGTTAGTCTGCTATTTCTTGTATGTGGGAACATATTTACTATCAGTACATCTTTCATATAAATCTCATTTGCTATCAATCAGTTGATATTTACTCTTTACTTTTACTTTTCAATCAGGAGAATTTCTGTCAATCCTCCCTGTAGATCCCAAGCTAGGGAAAATGTTAATCATGGGTGCAATCTTCCAGTGCTTTGATCCTGTTTTGACAACTGTGGCTGGACTTAGTGTCAGGGATCCTTTTCTTTTGCCTCAAGATAAAAAGGATGTAAGTACTAAGATCCTAGTAATACTTACCAGCAGAAAAAAATCAGTGTATTGGCTGTTTCTGTTAGTGTGGCAACATGTGTCCTCTTTTCATATGCAATGCTTTAATTTTATGCATTTCTCCAAACTTGTGATCTTGTATGTTGAGCATCATTTCATGTATACTGGCAGAAAATTCTGTGAGGCATGTACGAAAGAATCTCAAGAAAAACAAATAAGTAGTTTGATAATTATCACAGTACAAGTACTGCTTAAGAAATGACAAGGAAAACCTGCTTGAAGCATTTTGTCAAAAGACTAGCTCATACACGCATTTAAAATGCTTAATTATACTCTTCTCAATGAACTCCTATCGTCTTCTCTCTCGACATTTTTAATTATCTAGTCGTGATTACTTCTAGATGGTATGTGTTTTCTTGGTTCTCCATGGTTCTATCCAGGATATCCAATATTTTGTATGTTACACCCTTGTTCTACCTGGACTATGTACTCTTGTGAGGCTTGAATGATCTTGATTTTTTAAGTTCTAAAATTTACTTGACTGCCGAGTAATTGATATTCCAGAAGAGGATTGGGAGGGAGTTTTTGTAATTCTGCAGAAATTTTTGCCTAGTTGATGGGGAATGGCATCTGTTGGTGTATCTGTGATTTATGAGGAAATGGATTAAATGGTGTTTAAGTTGGTGAATCTGTGATTATACGAAGAAGATTACAAACAGACAACAAAGTTTTTTTTGCGTGTTATAGCAATAAAGCTGGGTATGATTTGTATTAGTTGATACAAGCTTTATGTTGGGGCCCTCTATTGTTCAGAAGGCTGTCAGAAGATTATATGAAGAAATAGAAAATAGGATTCTTTCATGATCATTTGTCATATTTCTCTGAGAGAGACTTAGACACCTGCTCAATCTGCAGTTTCTGCTCTTGTCCTTCTGTATTTGTTAATTTTGTACCATGCATTTTTATGGGCATATTCTTGTGCTGTTCTTCTGGTCTTTTTTTTGGGGCTAAATCAGAGTAATTGAATTGTAAAATTCCCAAGTGCTTTATACAATTTATCACCTAGATTTTTAGACACATCTAGGATTAGCACTTTTGCTTTAGGTTTACTTTGTGGTAAGATCTTATGAACTGATTTATTTCTATACACGTGATTTAGTTAGCAGGAACAGCGAAGTCCAGATTCTCTGCAAAGGATTACAGTGATCATATGGCTCTTGTCCGTGCATATGAAGGATGGAAAGAGGCAGAAAGAGAAGGATCAGCTTACGAGTATTGCTGGAGGAATTTCCTCTCTTCTCAAACACTTCAAGCTATGCATTCTCTACGGAAGCAGTTTAGCTTCATTCTGAAAGATGCTGGATTGCTAGATGCAGATGTTGGCACTAATAACAGATTAAGTCACAACCAATCATTGGTTCGTGCAATTATATGTTCTGGTCTCTTTCCTGGAATAGCATCTGTAGTGGTAAGGTAACTCAACTTGCAATTATACTGGTAGTTTTCCAATAAGCTTTCAGGTTAGAATGACACAGATTACTTCCATCACCATATGCAGCACAGAGAGACATCAATGTCTTTCAAGACGATGGATGATGGGCAGGTCTTCCTTTATGCGGTGAGTGTTATACTTGTAATTCCGGCTGAAACCTTGGAATTTATAAGTACTTTGTGTAGTAATCCAATGGCTTATATTTGTATCCTTCACAAGTGCTCACACATGCATTCTACTGCTTATGGACCAGATCCAATCAGAGGGAAACCATAGAGAAAAATCCCCCGTCATTAGATTGTGTCACTTGTGATATATTACCAAACTGAGAATTGAATGTACATACATGAGTACAAGGTCTATTTAAATGGATCTACTAACTACACTGGAGGTATAATACCAACCAAGATGTATCAGCAGCAACATATCTGCCTCTGCCCTCGGCTCACATTTAACTTTATCTCTCTAGTCAAAATTGGCTCCACCTTCTCTCAACCTGGTCTGGTTTTTAGCCACAACTCGTCCAGTCCAAATTAACTGTTCATATTTAGGTTGATTTAGTTAATTTTCGAAGATTTCTGCTCATTAGCTGCTATTTAGTCTAAGTGTAAGTCAAATTATTTAAATCTATACTATTTATAAATGTTAGCATCCGTCAAATTTTTTTGATTTCCTATTTTATCCTTAATTATTATAATAAAGTCAATTATACCCACCTTTATACTTGCATTCAATTTTTATTTTTACTCCTATTTAACTTTCAACTTTTTTTGGATTCTTTTATAAAGACTTCTAAATTCTTTGACCTCATTTATTAGTAATATAATTATATACATTTTTCTATATCTATATGCAGTAAAGTCTTATATATGTTAAATTATTATACACATATAGTTATTAGATTGAATTACACAATCAAATATATGTTATATTTTATTTTATGGTATGCAATAATATAATAATATTATAAGCGATCTAATAAATATATTTAACAAAATAAAATTTAATAATTCTATATTATAATTAGATGTGCAAAAGCAAATGGGTCAGAGAGATACTTAAATAAATGATAGATTAGATATTCAAAGAATAAATTAATAATTAAAATACGGATTAATTATTTGACATCTAATTTATTATTTAACTTAATTACACATATAATTCACGTTTTCTATAAATAAATATTATTTAAATTTATTTACATGCAATGCACGTCGTGCATTGTTAGTATAAAAGAAATTGTGTTTGGAGTAAAATGAACGCTTGTTAAAACGAGGGATTGGTACAGAAATGGTAGCAAAGGAATCCAACCATTCGGTTAAAAAAAAGTAGAAAAACATTAGACAAACTTTAGTTTCTAGCGCAATCCAATTTGACGTATACAAAAAAGAGAGAGGTCTTGAAACTCGTTGGTACTTGATGCTCATAGTGAAGCCAAGAATTTTATTATCCTTTCCCTTTAGAAATTGCCTATACTTTTTTTTATAAGAAACAAACTTTTATCAAGAGAGAATATAAAAACCTTACAAAAAGTTGTAAAAAGATATTTCAAAGGTGGATAAGACATCCAAGTCTGTGATAGTATGTATAGAACAAAACATGGCCGTAAAACTTGTTAAGAATAGTAGGGTAGTATGTGTAAATTGTTAATAGTAAGAGGATGTATATGTAATCTTATTATTTTAGGTTAAACTAATTAATATAAGTGATGTATGAGAGGTACGTTAAGTTTTAACCCCTCTCTGTTCTCTCTAATATTGTGTTAATTCTCCACACTTAACATGGTATCAGAACAA